TTCCCACAGACTGGTGACCAGAGGGCCAGTACTAAGGAGAAAGCAGATGGGAAGCACCCAGTATCCATTTCTCTATGCCTATTTTGTGACCTGTAAATTGAGGTCCAATGTTGAGGTGAAGAGGGGCTGGGTCACTGAGGTCAACTCTAACCCCCTGGATTCCAGGCTCTGGGGCCACATCAAGAGAGCTAGAGCTCATGGGCTTGTCCTAGACAGACATGGATGAGGAACAAGCTTACACAAAGCTGGCCAGGCCCCTGAATGAAGCTGGTCAGGTCCTAGTACCCCGTAGTGGGCACTGCAGAGTGTCCAGTGGAAATTCAGGGAAGTACAGGTGCCAGAAGGTATCTCAGAGGGATTCTGGCTACCTCTTGGTCAGGTGTGGAGTCCAGTCAGCCCCTTCCGAGGGAAGACTGTGGCCATACCCCATCATTCTCACCAAGTCTCCAAAGGACCCTTCTGTGCCTCACTGTCAGCATCTGGCCTTTGTTCCTGCTTTGCTTGGAGGTGGCAAGTGCTCTGTCAGCTTCTCTGAAGAATGGCCTCTGCCTGACCCACTAGAGCTTCCTTGGAGTGGGTGTGGCACCCCACCTCCACCTGAGCCCCCTCAGCTCCCTACTGCCCATAGCTCAGTCCTGAAGTCCTACTTGCCATGACTTATTCCAGCCTTTTGCTTCATTTGTTTCTGTTTAAGAATTTTATTGTTGGTTCCAGGCGACGGCTCAGTTGGTAAAGTACCTGCTGCGCAAGCATGAGGACCCAAGTTGGTTCCCTAGCACTCATGTAAAAAATCAGGCATAGCAGCACCGCAAAGACAGAGACAGGAATATTCCTGGGCTCGCTGAACCTTGTGAGCTATGGATTCAATAAAAGACCCTGCCCCCTCCCCAATAAGGTGGTGAGTGATAAAGGAAGACATTGTCATCAACTTTGGGCCTCTATACATGCACTACCAACACACACAAAGAATTTGAGAAAAGTTTAACTTTTTAGAAAACTATCTTATGCTTTCAGAAGTTTCCAGAATGAGAGTGGCTTGAGGGATCACCAAGTACCCTTCACCTTCACAGTCTCCTTTTACCTATCCAGGTGGGAGTAAAGAAATTCTAAAAGAACAGGTGTGCTTGCTTCTCTCTCTGGCCATCAGATTATTAAAACAATGGACTCCAAGGCATTGGGATTTTCCCAGGAGTCTCACACTGGGGAAGGGAAAGGATGAAGCCTGGTGCCAGCCAGAGGGGGAACTTGTCTCCCAGAGAGATCTCACAGAGTTCTGAGAGCTTGTCAGACCACCTTGCAGGAGAGACTGGAGCTGACAGTGATGGTCAGTGATGGGCAGGACCACACCTTGGCCAGGACTGCTTAGCTATGCACAGAGCTGCCCTCTGTTTAAGCCTGAACCTCATGTCCGGACCCTGAGGACAGACTCAGGAGTCTCTGGACCTTTTTGTCCCTCTTCCCAATGTGGCCGTACTAAATAGCTCTCTTCTCTGCTTTTCACTGTTACCTGTTTGAGGACCGTGGTTGAGTCTATGCTATTAGGGTTGCAGGGACTTAGGACTAAGAGCTCTGAGTAACAATGCTTACAACTTTCTCTGTCAGCCTCCTTCCCTCCCTCCCTTATTCCTAGAAATTTCACAATTTTATGGCCACTTTCCTGACAAGAAAGCAGTCTTCTGCTAGCCACAGAGCAGTTACCAACATAGGCAGTCTTTGATCTGCTAGTTTTTGTCCTGTGACTTGCTTCTACTCATTCTTTTTATTTTTTAATTTTATTTTGACCATGTGTTGATTTTCTAGCTGATAAGATATTCAACACCCATAACCACCTCCTGCTTTCAGAAGAGAATCTGATTAGAATCCAGTCTTCAGTCCTCATTCCTGGGATGTCCCAAAGAAAGTGCCTGCACATCAGACCCACAGCCTGAACCTGCCTGCCTTTGTACATGGCCATGTACCTACCACCCCATGTACCTACCCAGTCTCACCCCTACACATCTAAGCCCTACTTCCTTCAGCCATGTACTGCTGAAAAGTAAAGCCTTCCATTCCCTTTATGGCCATTGCTGTGCACACATCACTTGGGATGTCAGGGGCTCCTCAACTTTTGACACACTGTGTCCCCTGTAGGCATTTCTTACCCTTGTCTCCCCTACTTCCTCCTCTCCTGTCACCAGCCTTTCTCTTGTCTAAATGGACTGGGATTTACATCTCAGCCCAGATCCCATTTCTTGTTATTACTCAGGGAATTTGCACAGCCCTCCCTCCAGACCCCACAGTCCATAGCCAGTTTCTGCTGGAGCATGACCCAGGTCCCTCCCTCCCTTGGCCACTGAGTCCCTGTTCCCCACTTGTTCAATGTCTCTGTTAGCTTCTTCCTCCCATGCCCCACCTTACCTCCTTACAGGGACTCTCCACCTAGTGAGATCTTTTCAGAATACAGAGCCGTCGAAGGCAGCCATGCACTGCTCCATTCAGCCTTGTTGTTTTGTGGATGTATGACCTGCCAGCTGAGGCAGCCAGGGTCATCCCACGGGGTCTCAGACAGCATTAAGCAGGGCCAGAGCTCTGCACATTACCCTTGGGTCAGTCAGTTTGGTTTGATTTGTAGAGGTCTCTCATATTTCATTCGTTCACTGGAAAATGTAGTGAGTGGTCATAAATCTGCCATCCCACCCAAGAATTACATCTCCCAAGCTTACATCTATGAAGAGCTCTACTCCCATATGCCTCCTGCTCTGTGCCCACTGCCCCCATCAACCCCAGATAAACATAATCTGGAATTTTTATATTCGATATTTCTTTGTTTCAGGAAAAAACAGATTTTTTAAAAAAAATAATATTAATTGTCACCTTGACGGGATCTAGAATCAGCTAGAAGACAGACCTCTGGACATGTGGTGGTTTAAATGAGAAACATTCCCCTTATTTGAACTCTCGGTTCCCAGTTGGTAGTCGGTTTGGGGAGGTTTAGGTGGTGCACACAGTCTTGCTGGAGGAAGCGTGTCACTGAGGATGAGCTTTGAGATGAGAAGTCTAGCACCTCTTTCAGTTTGTTCCCTCTGTGTTGTGCTTGTGGTTGAGACCTGAGCTCCTTTCCTGTCTGGCCACCCTACCTACCGCTCGAGTCATGTTTGTCCCACCATGATGGACTCTTACCCTACTTTCTTCTGTGAGCTGTTTCTGGTCATGGTGTTTTAGCATAGCATCAGAAGACTGACTAATAATTGTCATGTCTGAGAGGGACTTTCTAGTGGAGTCACTGAGGTGGGAAGCATTGTCCTATGGGCTGAGCCGGAAAGGATGAAAAGGAGAAAATGAGCCGAGAACCAGCCTTTGTCACTCTGCTTCCTGGCTGCAGATGCCATGTGACCAGGCACACTTCTGCCACCATCCCTTCCCACCTCAAACCATGAGTTCAAACCAACTCTTCCTTCCTGAAGTTGCTTCATCAGGTATTTTGTCACAACAATGAGAGAAGTAGCTAATACACCCACCCAGTGTGTCTCCATGGCACTGAAACTTACTTGCCCAGAGCAAGGCCCACAGTGGTCCTGCCTCCAGCCCTCCTGGACCTCAGATGCCTGGAGTGCTGGATGCAGCCATATTGTTCCTGATAAGCATAAACCCAAGAGGGACTCAAGTTCACTATTTATCCCCAGAGCATCATGCTCAAGCCAGTCTGTTCCTTGCAATCACTGTCTATATGCTCAGCTCTGCAGGTACAAATCTGAGCTTGGAACTGTGTCCCTTAAGCACAGGTTCCTGCAGTACCCATTTTTTTCTGACATCACTATGCAAAGCTTCCCATTGAAGTGTCTTATAATCCCTGGCCCCTGGGTGCATGCCTAGTCCTGCTGCTCTGAATCTGAGCCCACCTGCTCTGACTTGCCCTGCCCAGCCCCATGGTGAGGCAGAACTGTCCCTAGAGGTCTGGCTTGCCCCTGTAGTAGTCAGTCTAGACACTGGGGAGAAAGTTTAGGGCTGAGGTTCTTCCTAGGATGGGCTTTGGGAGCTGGTGAGAGGAGCATGGTGGATCCTGAGGCTGGAGGGAAGCCAGGGAGCCATCCTCAATGACTTGCCTTCTGAGTATCAATAAACAACCTCCAGAGTCCCTCACAGCTCCAGAATGGGGCCGGGCAGCCTCTGCTGGGATCCCCACTGAAGACCTAGGACCCTGACAGGAATTCACACAAAGCGAGGGTGGGGGCACAGCCTCACCAAGATGACTCTTTCTTGTCAGACCTGTTTGGGATATTATCCTAGTTAGGCCAGGATCTGGGTCTTAACAAAAACAAGACAAATTCCCTTCCTGGCCAAGGTGGGGCCATGCTGGGCCTGCCACAGTCTTATCCAGGAAAAGGGACCCAGGTCTTACCAGTTTAGTACAAGTCTCTGGAGGAAGTGGGAAGCTACTGACTCATGTATACCTCCATGGGAAGGCCTGGAACCTGTGGCCCAGCTATGAAGTCAACTGCTGAACCATCCCAGGCCCCAGGTTCCTAAGAATGGGTGCATTATTGACCTTGTTAGGCCAATAGGATCCAGGCAATGAGACATCCAGGCTAATTGTGCAGGCTCAGCCTTACCCTCATCCCTCAGTGTTCAGAGAAGGGCAGGCACTAGGTAGAGTGTGTAGGAGGAGGCAGGGTTGATGTAGGATGAGTCTGGGGATGAACACAGAGGGTCAGCCTTTCAGGGTGGCTTCTGGCTTCTGGCAGAAGATAAGGCCACGAGAAGGGGCAGTGCTGGAGGAATGGAGACTGAGCCTGCCCCGGGGTGTGCCTGCCAAATCCTTTCCTAGTGGATGACTGTACCAAGGGACAAAGGAGCTGATCCTAGAACCTCCTACTCAGATATTGTTGGAGTCCCACGGTCATTTTTCTCCAGGCCCTGCCATGTCAGACAAGTCCCACCAGTGGCCTCCACACTGCTGATCACACTGAGCACACTGCTGGTGTGCTCCAGAGCAGGCAGACAGAACTAGACCAGACCAGTGGTAGGGATGTAAGTCCTTTATTGGAGTGAGGGCAGGTACTCCCAGCCTGGCTGTTGGGTGCTCCCCCAGTGGTGGGGTGGAATGGGGCAGTGGGCAGTTAGGACTCAGACTCAAACATCTTCTTCCGGCCTTCCATGCCAGACTTCTCCTCAATATTCTTCCTCCAGTCACCCACATCACGCAGGTCACGTTCCTGAGGGTAGAACCAGAGAGCCCTTAGAAACCCCTCAGTCTTCCTTCCCCAGACTGCCCTGGGCCTCAGTTCACTCTCTCCGCATGGGACAGTGAGTGAGCTCTCCCGCTTGGCTCTCCCCCGGGCCCTGGCCTACCTTCTCGGTGTCTTCCTTCTTGACCTGCTTCAGGTTGGCCCTCAGGTCCATGCACACCTTGTGCTTAGAGCCCAGCAACGCCTTCAGCATGGCATCAGCTGACATACGCACTCTCCGAAGCGGGGGCCTCTTGAACTTGCCCCTCAGGTCAAATAGCTTCTGGTTCATGTCTTCCAGCTGAGAGGAAGGAGCAGGAGCTTTAGGGGCCTGGCAGCCCCCATGCCCCCAGCCTCCATCTCATTTGGCTTCACCCCATGCCACCTTCGTATCGCCTGACCCCCTGACCCACTCGTGACCCCTGGAGCCAGCGGCCCCTCTCAGGTGCCATGCATCCCTCACCTCCTTGCTGCTCTTCTGCACCTTCACCTCCATGTCGTACTTCTCCTCCTCGGCCACATCGATCTTCGCATGCAGTTGCTTGCAGAGTTCCTGGGCGGGCAAGCAGAGCGTGGGTGGCCACGCTGACACTGAGGACCACTTTCCCCTCCCAGCTCTGCCCCACCAGGCCTGACCTGCTGAGGAATAGGGGTAGCAGGGCCTTGGGTGGTATGTGCCAGGAAGGTACTACCTGCACTTCAGACATGGAGCCTGGGATGTGCAGAGGTGGGCAGTGCTCTGACAGGTAGTTTTGCTTCTCGGATTCACGGCGGCTCTCCTCTTTCTCCAGTTCTGTGGCTGCGATCTGGAGCATCACACTCTGAGAAGCAGAGTGGTGGGAATGAGGGTCTGCAGTGACCCCCACCCCCACCTCTGTACCCCAGCATCCTCTCTGCATCAGCCCATTCCTACCTTCAGGTGCTGTCTCCGGGCCGTGATGGCCCTGTTGCGCTTCTGTAGGACGGGACAGAGAGGGCAGACTCAGGCCTTGGCTAGAGTACTGACTTCCTTGAAGCCCCATCTGACCTGGGGCTCCCATGGAGGCCACAGGGCCACTGTTCAGGGCCCTGATTTTTCCCCCAGTCCAGAGACCTGCTTCAGGAACACATGCCTGTGGTCCTGACACTTCGCTTAAGTGGCACATAAGGTTGAAAGGGGTAATGGGGTTTGGGAACGGGGAGGGTATGTGGCCAGGGCTCAGGGGCCATGGGCAAGGGAAAGCCTGGGAGGTTAGTGGTGAATAGAAATCAGAAAGGAGAAGTGATTTCCTTGTGATTAGGCCTGAGTCTCACTTCCCTCTCACTGGGCACCAGGCAGGCACTTCCCCTCTCTCCCCGGGAGCTCAGGGGGCGGGGCACTCAGGGACCTTGACAGGTATGTCTTCTGACTTCCGTCTCAGGGAACCATTATAGCCTGAATGGTACTCACCTCCTCACTGTCCCAGGAGGAAGAGGGAGGGGGGAGGGGGAGAGAAAAGAGAAGTTAGGCTGTGGCTCATGGGAGTAGCCATGGAACCTTGGGGTGGGTGGGGTAGAAGGGGTGGGCAGTATCACAGAGGGCAGGGAGATATGGAACCCAAGCCCTGGTGAGGGGACTGCAGTGTGGGAGGGTGTCACACTGGGTGCCACTTACTCCCCCATCCTGAGGTCTTGAGCTGTGTGCCTGTGGGGAGAGAGCGGGGAAGACGTCAGTGTCCTCTTACATGAGGCCAGGCATGGAGACCTGTGCTCACTAGTCCAACTCTGCTGTACCCCCAACTCAGACCTTCTCAAAGGGCAAGGATTTAGAGGACATCCCCCACCCCCACCCTGAGGGTGAGAAGTAAGAGGAGAAAGTGTTCCCAAAATGTCCCAGGCAGGGCCTGAGGAGCTGCAGCTGTCCCTGAGGGAGGGGTGGGGCTGGCCAGCACAGGTGGCTGCCAGAGTGAGCCTGTTATTTTTAACTCTTGCTTCTTTGGCTGGAGAAGTAAATACATGGAAGAAAGAGCTCTTCTGTGTGGCCTAGGGGCTCAGGTCCCCGCTTGCTTGACCCGAACATTCTCTTGCTTGTGTGTCCCCAGGGTCAGTGGCTGTCATCAGAGGCCCACTGAAGACCCCTGCCCCATCCTACCAGCACCTGCTGCTTTTCAATTCCAGATCTGCCGGAGCCCCCAGAGAGAACTGTCGGCCGCGGACCCCAGACCCCTAAGTCCCTGCCCAGGGAAGTCCTCCTGCAAGCTAGCCTGAGTAGTGCCCTATTCTCCAGCTTGAAAAAGATGAGCCAGGCCTCACCTAGAGTCTGTGCAGCAGGGCTGGGAGCGAGGTCAGGCAGGCAGCAGTGAGCTGGGATGGTGGGCCAGGGGGAGGGGTATAAATGGCTTTCCCTGGGCCGGGCCCCTGCTCAGAAAGGGCATGGAGTCTCCTCAGACCAATGGGGGCACAGAGAGGAGGAGAGCCTCCCCACCTGCCCAGTCTGCTGACCAGCCAGCCCAGGCGCTGGCCTGTCCAAGAAGTCTTGGGGTGGGGTGGCAGGGGGGGGGTTGGTTTGCTCTATTTATGTCTCAGTGACAAGTTCAAGATGCCACCCTTGTTCCTACAAGAACCCTCAGGACAGCAAGCATTACACTGCACGTGGGTCTCCAGGGTATCCACTGGGCTCAAACATCCATTGAAGTCTTTCTCCAAGGGGAACTTGACCTCACAAGTGGGCTGAACTGAAGTCATTGTCAAATGAATGGCTTTGTAGCTCAGCACCCCTCTGGCCACTCACTCCCTGCTTGGGTCCTTGGACTGACTGTTCACCACTTCAGTCCTCCTGTAAAATTGAACCCACCTCCAAAAGCAAGCAAACAAAACAAAACACCCAAACAATCTCTCTGGCCCTGTGTGGTAGTCAAGGCTCAGGGGAGTGATGCCTACCTCTTGTAGTAAACTTGCCTTTTTGCCCAGGGAGAGGAGCAAATGAGCCCCTGGACCAGCAGCTGGGCCTCTCCCAGCCTGCCACACACCCTGCCCATGGGAGTCTGTCTCTCTGCACAGGCAACTTGGAACATGTCCTTCCACCCCAGAAAATGGTGCCACCGCCCTAGGAACCTCTCTCTGACCCGTGGGGGCTCAGGGCCCTTGGTTGCCTAGGCAGGCCCTGCATTGCCCGGCTCACTGGGGCCAGGCCCTCACCCCTTTCCCGCTCCTGAACCCCACCCAGAGACACCCAGATCATGGCTTGGCCTCAGCCCTGCTGCTCTGGGGCCCCTGAGGATCAGGGGAGGGTTGGAACTGCTAAAGCCCGCCAGATGTGCTGGGATTAAGAGGTATATCACAGGCCAGGACTGCAAGCCCCCAAAGGCCCCAGAGCAGCTTCCAAAGGCATCTACTGCCCCCTGCTGATAGCACAGAGCACACCCTATACCACCATCCCTTATGGTGTAGGGGTCTCTTCCCCAAACTCTCCCTACCCACAACTTCCTCCACAGTTGCCCACCTTGTCCCCACAGAGCCAGCTCTAATCCTCTGCTCCTCTGCCAAGCCAGGATGGCAGAGAGGATGGTGCCATCTTCCCAAGGAAGATCTAGTAATCAGGCCTTCAGCAGAGGTTCAGGACTGGCAAATATGTCCAGCGCACCCCGCCCCATCCTTGAGAGGAGAGTGATGCCAAGATGTAGCCCATCTTGTGCCTCAGGTCCTCCTCACAGGATTCTATCAGGACACGTGAGTGAGAAAGAAAAGGCATTTATTACAGAAAGCTCGGAAGAGCCCGAACAAATGCCCACAGCTCCATTTGGGGAAACAAGCCTACAGTTCTTTTAGGAACGAAGCCTAGGAAGGGGCAGGCGAGGCTTCAGGGCCAGAGCACGGTCCACCTCCCTGGGGGACTGCAGGTGGTGCCACTGGGCAATGGGCCGTCTGGCATGGGCCAACATATCTGCCCAGTGCTGCAGAGGTTGGCCTGAAGCCCGGGGACCCAGCAAAACCTTGCCTACAGGCTCAGCCCGGAGATGCAGGCCGTGAGCCCAGATAGTCAGCACCAGGTCCACACTCTGCAGACATGGAAAGGGAAACGGTTGTCAGTTTGGTCCAGCACAACATCCCAAGTCACTCCACCCTTCCTCCCACTCCCCACCTGGAGCAGGCTAAAGGGAACCAGGAAGGTGAAGGCCTCATTGAAGTAGGGCATAGTTGTGCTCTTCTTAGAGGATGTTTTCCTCTTCTTCCATTTTCTCTGGTTTAACATGAGCTGGACCTTTACATAGGGCTCTGCATGGACAAGAGAGTTCAAGAAGGGTGTCCCATACATGCACGTGGGAAGGTTGAGCGCAAGGGCCCAGCTCTCTGTCCACCCTAATATAGCTCTTACCTGCAAGCCCTGGATTCAGGCCCCGAGCCTCCAGCACAACCACAGTCAAGCGGCCTGAGCTGGGCACGTAGCGCAGTGAGAAGCACAGCTCCCCCATCTGCTCAGGCTATGGGTAAGACATGGCTGCAGCTGCAGGGATCATCTTTGCCCTTGGGGTTTTCGGGCTCAGCATGTACAGCACCCAGACCTTGGCCAGCCCCCATAGCACAGGCAGGCCCCTGCCAGGCTCACCTCAGTGGTACCTGGAGGGCCCAGCAGGTACCAGCTCTCCAGGACATGCTGAGGGTCTACAGTGCTCAGTGGTAGCTGAATCTCACCCAGTAGCTCGTGCTCTGAGAACCGCTTGAAGTCCAACAGCTGCACCTTCAGGATGGCCCTGGGCAGCTCTGCCGGTGGGACCTACAGGCAGGGCTGTAAGCTGAATCCTGCTGTTCTAGCTGGCCCCGACTGCTCTACCTACCCAGGATAGACTTACCAGGAAGCAGCATGTCTCTTCAAACATGGGACAGAGAGTCCCACGGTGCACTTTTGTCTCGTGTCTTCTCCCAGCCTGGGTGGAAACGCAGATACGGGCATAGGGGTCTGCTGTTCCTTCAGCCTTCAAGTTTTCAGCCTGCCTCAGGCCCACCTTAATCTGGGGGCCAGTGGGTTGGCTCAGCTTGTGGGGGGTCCTCTTCTCATGTCTCCCTCCACCTGGCATTTTGCCCATCACACCCGGAGCCTCTGGGTCTGCTCAGTGGGACTTACCTCCTGGCTTCTAAAGTCATACTCCAGTGAGAGCAGCAGCCGCCCCCACTCTTGGGGTCCCCCAGAGTGGGGCTCCAGGCAGTCCACATCTGGTTGAACCTGGGGCAGATGAAGGTGTGGTCAGATAAGTATGGTTGAGACCAATCCTCAACCAGAGGCCTAGGCTCTTACACTATAAATCAAACCACCAGCAGCAGGCCAGCTCACAAAATGGCTCATAATCTCAGGGCAGCTTCCTGAGAGCAGCCATATCTGCCTTCAACGCGACATGTATGGAACTACGACTGTAGCTTCCAATGCCCCATGGACCAGCATCTGCACGCTTCTTGAATGCCTCCTCCCCCGTCACCTTTGTTCATCTCCTTCCTCTGCCAGGAAGGCCTGCCAGGGCTGCCCTGACCTCCCTAGCCTGGACCTTGCATTCCCCTCCCTGGAGTGAGCCAGTACAGGATTGGGCACGGGTAGATGCAGGCTTCTGCTCCTCACCAGGTGAGTAGTGGTGCTGCTACGAGCACTGCCCAGACCCACAGCTTCTTTGTCTTTGGGCTGCTTCCTGCGGCGTTGGCAGCGACGACGGCAACAGCAGTAGATGATGCAGAGCAGACAAGAGACCAGGAGGACTCCAGCAGCAAGAACGACGATAAAGAGTGCCCAGTGGGGCCCTGAGTCAGGGGCACAGGCTGCTGAAATGCCCCTCTAGACAATCCCCAACTAGACTAGACCATGCCCACACCACTCTTAGGGTTCCAGCCACTCACAGGGGATCCTGGTAATGAGATCTGGAATGAGACTGGGCTCAGCAGTGGTGTCACCTGGGGCTGAGGTGCTGCAGGGGTCTGGGACATGCCCCATCTTCCTGCCCCTATTGGCTTGGAGGAGACAACTGTGGAATCCAGGTCACTCGAGGGGGCCCTCTGACCTTTGTGTACTGCCTCTTCAGCTGGCAAGTACTGAGTCCACCCTAGATTAGAAGGCAGCCTAGGTGGCCAGGGGCAAGGGTGCTACTCAGGAAGGTAGGCAGAATAGCTGCCATAAGCTCAGCCTCTTGCCACCTTCCCCAGTCCCCAACCCCAGCCAAGTAGGCCAGGCCTGGGCAACCTGGTACCTACTTTTGCTGGCCCTTGCTCACTGGAACTATCTAACACAGTGCAGGAGGAGCTTTGCCCTTTTTCCTTGGACTCAGAGGACTTTTCTCGTTTTCAGGGGTGTCTCATTTCCTGAGGAAGACCCATGATAGCCCCCTGCATTCCAAAGATCTACCACATTCTACCAGGTAGCCCAGTTCACTGTAGCCTCAGGGCCAAGAACAGCTTGGGCCATGAGGTCATGTGGGAGGGAACTGGGGGTACAGGGCATAGGGCCACCAGCAAGCGCTCCAGCAAGCCTAGGCTGAAGGAGCTTTCCTGGCATGGGCATCAGGCCAGTAGTGCCTGGGGATGAGGGTGAGGCGGGAGCAGGCAGGGGCAGGGCATAGCTGGGAGAGATTGAACATTCCTCCACGCTGAATCAATGCCGGCCTAAACTTGCCTACCTGCCTGCTTGGCCACCTTTGGCATGGGAGTGGGAAGGAGAAGGCCATGAAGCTGCCTTGGCCTCTGTACCTCACCTGCCTGGGGCCTGAGGAGGGTACACACCTGGCAGGCTAGCTTCTTCTACCATGAGCAGGAAGGGTGGGGTCCCCAGTTTAGGGCTGGGAGCCACTGTGACTCCCTGAACTCAGATTTCCCCACTCCAGCTTCCCTAGATAGCAACTACTAGCCAGGACTTAGTTTCCAAAACTTGGGTCTACCCCACTGTGCTATCCCCAGCTTAGGGCTGGGAGCCACTGTGACTCCCTGAGCTCAGATTTCCCCGCTCCAGCTTCCCTAGATAGCAACTAGGGAACTTAGTTTCCAAAACTTGGGTCTACCCCACTGTGCTAAACGAGCCTGTCAGCCCTCCTGCCAAATGTAAGCCCAGACTGCATACAAGTTACTAGACTAGCCTACCCCTCCAGGAGTGACTAACTGTGGGGTCAGATCCTCTTGCTCCTGTACCCTCAGCCTGGAATCTCCGATATGATTCCAAGGGACACCCCCCACCCCGCAACATCAGTGCCTCACTGCCTGGCAGGATGGAGAGAGGCAGCCACAGCTTAGAGAACCAAGAAGCATCCACCCCTCAGTGATCATAGGTAGCTGCAGATCAGGAGGGGACCAGGTTCTGTCTCCCAGATTTCCCTTTAGGGGTCCTGCACATGTGGATCCATGAGCTTTCCAAGGATGGCCTGAGGCCGGAGCCCTGAAGCTGGCATGGTCCTGGAGCAGAAGTGCAGAGGGTTATTACAAGAAGCCATGATGACAATGGAGAGTGGCCTGGTGGGGACCTGAGAGGGCCACTGTGTTAGGCTGAATGTCCTTCTCATCTCTTGAAATCCCTCAATTTTCAGCACAGGGACCAGATTTTAATTCACCCCAGGCCCTATGAATCACACAGCTAGTCCCTAGCTTGATTTCAGACCCCCGTTTGGTGGAAGTGGAGGCTTGGTGAATCCCCTGAAGACAGAGGGGGTGGTCTGCGAGCCTCAACAGCCTCCCCATCCACTAACTTCCCTCCGGTCTGCCCTTCTGAAGGCTTCTGCTAGGCAGGAGTCCACAGGGGACAGCCAGAGTGCCCCCAGTGGCACCTGGTGGAAAGGCTGGTGGGAGCTGGAGCTGCCGAGTTGTTCCTCAAGGGTCCCTAGCATAAGAGGGCTAAAGCCAGGCTCAAGTAAGTCTGGCTCCTTGAGTGGGCAAAGCCACATTTGCCATTTGGTAATGATGGAGCCAGTATTGGAATTCAAGTAACATCAATGAGATCTCTCTCTCTCTCTCTTTCTCTCTCTCTCTCTCTCTCTCTCTCTCTCTCTCTCTCTCTCTCTCTCTCTCTCTCTCTCTGCACTTGTGAGTTCCTTTCTGTACCCTTCTTCAACTGAAGTCCTCCCACCCTTGCAGTGAGAACAAGTGTCAGGGAGCACAGAATAAGCCATGGTTTCTCACTGCATATAGATTAGGAAGGCGTCCTGGATAGCATGGTGGTGACACATGTACGTCCACAGGGGTCTTTGGATGGTCTGGAAGCTAGTTTTAGAGGATTCTGGGGCCTCAGGAACACCATCTCCTGGTACTAGAGACACTTTCAAGGCCTAGAGAGATCAAGGTCCCTTTGGACCCCCAGGTCTCCATGGTGGTAAAGGTGCAAGTAAAAATATAGCCACCAGGTGGAGCCATTCTCACCACCGGTCCCTACCTACCAGTAGCTTCCAGCCTGCAGATAATGGACTTCAGGGAAGGTGAACGTAGTCTGGTAGCCTGAGCAGGACAGAAAAGAGGCTCTATGATTCTCCAGCCCCAACCACAACGTGGCTATCCCTGTTTGTGTGGCCTGGGGCAGCATCCAGCACTGAGCAGCAGGCAGGTCTTCCTGCTGACTTTGGTAGTCTGTCCATGACTGTTGAGGAAGACTTTCTTAAGGGGCCCGGCACTGTTTGACCCAGGAAAGGGAACTGGGAGTCCCTGCTACATCTCCAGGCTCCCTCCCGGTGGCTATGTGCATCCAGCTCAGCAATCCCTTCCAGGCAGGGCGTTTGACTCATACCTGGGTCTGAGACTTGCTTCCGCTGCCCTGGGCCTCTCTCCCTAGTCACTCTCCAAGGCTTGCTTGAGCTCCACTTTCTCCAGGTATCCCTTTCGGTCCCTCAAAAGTACCCAGTATTGGGCTGGCTGCTATCCAGTGCCCCCTTCAAGACGGAAGCCATACACAGTCATGCTGGGCCTCTCCTCCAAATTTCCCGGCAGGCCATGATGGAGTAACTCTGGGTTAGACCTGCTATCAACTCCCTCCACCCCCAGTCCAATCAGACCTTGTAATGCTTCAAGGGAGAGCATGTTTCTGTGTTCCCTTTCTCCCAAAAAGCAAGACGCCTGCCCCCAAGTACAGTAGTGATCCCTTCCTCACCTGATGCCAACAGCTTCCTGTGGCTGGTGGGCTCTGGCCTTCTTGCTTGGACCCTAGCCACCTGGAGGCTGGTTGGTCTACTCTTAGGCAGCACCTGGATCCCACAACAGAGCCTGCACCTTTGCTAGTGATCAAAAGAGTCTTGGGGAGAGGAAGAGGCTTTGGGGACCCCCCCCCCTTCATGGCCAGAATTGCTGGCCCTCAGAAGCCAGGAAACTTCCTTGAGAGAGAAGCCCCCACCCCTTGTCTGAAGCCCTAGAGCAGGTGTTTGAATTCTGGGTTCTCTCTAGGGGTTCCTCAAGGCTAGGGATAACCCCTCCCACACCAGACTTTGCAAACAGGGGTGATAGGCTCACTGGGCTGACCTCTGTGCAGGCTCACACACCCAGAAGGCCTGACTCACAGCTGTTTGGTGGAAGAGTGTGCCTCCTGGCAGTACAGGCCTAGAGAACCAAGCACAGAGTGGGTGGGGCCCTGTGGGGGGAGCTGCCTGGTGCTGTGTGCTGCTGTCCTGGGGCCACAGGGGCCTGCCTGACTTTATTGTCACCCCCAGAGGACATTTTGCAGGCCATTCTGACCCACTCCCTTGAGTTTTTAGCTTCCCAATGAGCAAGCCCTCATCCTGGTGTTCACGATCCTTGCATTAATCTAACCTGGGTATCTGTTCTATCAGTTTCTCATTGTGCTCTGACCAGTTGGGCTGGTCCGGTCACTCCACAGCCCCTTCTCTGTGGCTGGCTGTCAGACATTGGAATGCTTAATGGCTCACAAGACCTATCTCACCAGACCCAAAGTCTCCAAGTCTCTGGGCTGGTCAGACAGGTCTTTTTGAGGGAACTCCAGCTAGAGGATGCTCTGGGACCTCCACATGTGGGGTACACGCATGCTGCTCACAAGTAGTTCTGGGCACATGGACACTGACATGAGGTGGGTCCGTCCTGTCATGACTCAGGTGATGTGACAGGGACTTACAGATAAGATCAGAGGGTCAGTGGTGTGCCTGCAGAGATAGTAAAGCACCCTGGTAGCAATCACCTGGTCTTTGGGACCCACCAGGCCTCTGTAGAGCAGAGCTTCAGGCCCCACAAGTAGCTCCCACAACTGGGCTGTGTAGGGGCTTTGGCTGTGTAGGGGCTTTGTGCCTCTCCAGAATGAGGGCGCCTCCGTGGCGAGACGGCGTCTGAGGTTCTGAGGCAGGAAGGAGAAAACCAAACAGAGCTGGCAGCCCACGGCCAGGCCCGCGGCCCCCAGACAGCGGCTTGGCAGCCAGAAGCCCCGTGGAGACCCTGGCGGGGCTCCTGGACTCGGATGCTTCCTTTGAGGGTGCCTGGGGAATGTTTGAGGTCAGAACACACGGCAGGCAGACGCTGGCGGGAGAGCCTGGAGCCTCTGGCAAAGAAACAGGAGACGTGCTGGGATGGGACACGTGCTCCCTGCCTGTACTGACCCAGCTGGGAGCCCTATCCTTCCAGGCACCCCTTTTACCTGGGGTCTGGGACAGCCAAAAATGGGTGCTCAACTTGTCTCAGACCTCTGGTATGCTGCTTGTGTGTTCACTCAGGTTTTCTATGTTTTTTGCACTGAGGGACACAGGCTAGGCACAATGTCCCTGGCATTCCAGCATCAGAACAAACCTGAGTCCCATTATATAGATACTTTGGGAAGATGAACCCCAACTTCTAAACATCTGGGGATCTTGCTCCTCATTACTTGAACATCTAATAAGGCTACATCCTATCTCTTGAGCACCAGAGAATGCACGTTGGTCCACCACCTAGGCACCCCAGGAACACAGTCCCTATCTCTTAACCAACCAGGGAGACTACACCCCATTGTCCCAGAATCTAGAGAAATGACACTATTACCAGGGCAACTAGGGAAGGGCCTCCTGCCTGTGCTTTGGCACAGGCCATG